TGGGAACTGCGGGGGGGGGGGGACCGGCCCCCCCCCCCCGAGAGATACTGGGCTGCTCTTGTCCAGGACACAGATGGGCATTGTTGCCGCTGGCCCTGTCGCATCCCCAGGGCCAGACCCTGCCCTGAGCCTCCCTGACTGGAGAAAAAGCAGCCACAGGGAGGGATCTGCCCTAATCCTGGGGAGAGGAGGCTGAGCAGGCAAGCCGTTTCGTCCTGGCTGGGACAGCCAAATCCCTCTTTTAAGCCCCCTTTATAGGAAGAGCTTAAACTAACTTGCAGAGTAAGCAGGCCCTTGGGCCCTCTGCTTGCCAGCGCAGCGAGTGGGAGTGGAGGGCAGCGTGTGAGCCGAGGGCTGGGGCCTCAAACCCCCACCTCCCAGGGGAGGAGAGTGCTCAGGTGTGTACTGGAGGCAACCTCACCTGGGGGCGCGGGGAGGTAGCCAAGCACGCAGCGGGACCCTCCTCTCCACAGTCTTGGAAGATGGTGGCCCTTCACCTGGGGGCAGGAGACCCTTCCTGTCCCGTCGGTTTACGCGCCCCCCTTTCACCTGTGGCTGGTGCCGCTCACCTGGGAGCTCAGGTGTCGGGAGCCTCACGCCTGTCCTGTACTTCCTCCGACCGTGGGCGGGTGCCTCCTGAGCCAGCACCGCTGACAGCCAGCTGCGGTCTGCCTGGCTTTTCTGTTGTCTGTCGTCCTGGAGATCCAAGTGTCAAGTTACCGTCGAGAGGGGGAGCCCGAGGGAGCCCTGACTGGAACTTGTCCTACAACTTCCTACCTCCAGCCCTTTCCCTGCCCCTGAGGTCCGCTTGCAACACGCTCCCCTGCCCCTCGTCCTTCTCGCCTTCTCCCCTCTCCCTCTCCTCTTCTCCCTCCCCCTGCTCGGGCTGGGCTGTGAGCTGGGTGGGCAGCTGACCCTGGGGCTGGGGGAGAGGAGCAGCCCTCCCTGAGTCCCCGCACTTTCCGCAGGGCCTTTTGGCCTCTGTCCCCTGACCATCCCAGCCAGGCCACTCCCTGCTGGTCCCTCCCTGGAACCTCTCCCTAGGAAGAAAGTCAGTAGCCTGAGAGCCGCAGGACCACCCACGCCGCAGCCAGCCCCGGGAGGCCCCGCTGCCTCAGCATCCGAGATGCTCTGGGGCAGTTAGGAGCCCCAGTGACCGGGGAGTGGCCTGCTTGCCCGGTGAGGTGCCTCTCTTTGTTCCCGGACACTGCTGGTCTCCTCTCCACTGCTGGGCTGTCTCTGCGGGCCTGGCCCAGCCATCAGGGAGGGGCTCCATGGCCCTGTGGCCGGGGCCTTTGGCATTTGGCTGGTCTTGCCACCCTGCAGACCGGGCTGCAGGGAGAGGAACCGACCCCAGCCCTGTTGTCAATGGAGCTCTTTGAGTCTGAGCACAAAACCCCAGTGAGTCAGGGCACAGGGAGGGCGGGGGGAAGGAAGCCAACCGTGTGGACACACCACTGGGATGCCAGAGCCTCCCAGAGGCCAGACAGGCGGCCGCTGTGTGGACACACAGACTCAGCGGACAGAACTTTTGGCCCATTTATCCAGCGAGCGGGAGCGGGGAGGAGAGAGCGCCCTCTGGTGGCTGCCTCTGCTGCCTCAGGCAGTTCAGGTGGGACTTAGAGCTGCATCCTGCAGACCCTGCTTCTCTGAGGGACAGTGTCACGTCAGCTTTTGATTTTTTGTTTGTTTTTGTTTTCTTTTTTGGAGAGGTTTTTGCTATAGGGCACGTGTGCTTGCCAGACAGACAGAGACAGAGAGACAGAAATCGAGAAATCACCCCCCAGAGGGGATGGCCACGCCGCAATCCCTTCTTCATTCTCCTCTCGGGATCTTGGGCACGCACGCACACGTGCCCGGTGTGAGTTTAAGCCACCGGGTCCGGGACTGGAGCCACAGTCAACGACATGGGAGTTCAGC